TGACATTGATTGACAAGATATCATTTTGATAGTCTATATAATGAGTGTTGTCGAATATGATTCATTGAAAATACTTTGTTGTTATATACTGGATGAGATCCATATTACTAGCACTTCGATCACATCAAGACTACCTATGGTGACATGGCAGTGAAGAAATTGAAATTATGGTCAAAATCCAAAATGAAACTAGCCAAAGAATTGAACAGAAGATGCTTTCTCCTGCAGTGCAAACATTTTGACATCCTACCACAACACATCATTGCTTCAACCAGGCCATTGCACAACCTACTTCTAAGACAAGAGATTAACAGAAATGTGTCACAGTACAATCACAGGTTAGGGATCAAACTTATTAATATGGAAATTGCATCAAATCAACAATTGATAAATAATCTTCAAAATTCTTTGTCCTCTCTGAAAAGAGACATTATAACGATCACTAATGAATATACTTTCTTAGATTTTTCAAGTAGACAAATTGTGCAATATAACAAGATTTTTCACAGAGTCAAATCTGACAATATCAATAAATTGAAGAAGTTAAAACTTGATCAACAGAACAACAAACTCAAGACCAGGTCAAAATGGTTAAAAAATATCTCTAACACTGTCATTCCGGAAGATATTTCAAAATTCTTATCACTAGGCCCAAAATTTAGCATTGAACCAAATGTGATGAAAGACATTCCCATAAAACGTATCTTAGCAGATGTAGATTATATAACTTCATTTATTCCTGATGACTCCTTAAGGAGTATCTCCATAGCTAGAGCAACAAATGCAATAACTAATCACATTCATCATTCAGATAACAAAAAACAATCTTTTTATCACAACCTTCTCAATAAGTCCAGAAAATTTCTTAAAGACAACCCCAACATTATTCTTACAAACTCTGATAAAGGGAACGTAACAGTAGTGATGGAAAAACAACAATACCTAGACCTGTCTAATGACATCTTACTGAACAGTACATCATATTCAGAATTAAAGAAAGATCCAACCTCTACAATACAAAGACAAGGTAACATCTTGATTAAAAAATTGAAAGATTCAGGACAGATTGATGAAGCTACTAAAAAAAAGCTCACTAGCTACAATGGAATATCTCCTAAATTCTATGCACTGCCAAAAATACATAAACCAACGTTGTCAGTCAGGCCAATAGTGGCATCAATAGGAGCACCCACTGAAGCTATTGCAGCTTACCTTACAGATATTTTGACAAGAGCTTATGATCAAGACAATCAGTATTACATAAAAGATTCTTTTGAGTTATCAGAAAAATTCAACAAAATAAAACTCCCACAGAGACATGTCTTAGCAAGCTTAGATGTTGTGTCACTTTTTAGCAATGTCTATTTAGATGCTTGCTTGAGAGCAATTGAAAAAAATTGGTCACGTATCAATAACTACTGTACAATCACTAAAGAGTCGTTCCTAGATCTCATCACTTTTTTATTCAATAATACATATTTCTCATTCAACAACAAATTCTATAAACAAACTTTTGGCACCCCGATGGGTGCATCAATTTCACCAATTCTCGCTGCCTATGTAATGGATGACCTGTTAGACACAGTAATTCCAGTGTTATCATTTGATCTTTTTTTCATAAAAAAATATGTGGACGACATCATCCTTTCACTTCCTGAAGATGGTATAGAAGAAATTCTGTTTACCTTTAATAGCTATGATCCAGCAATTCAATTCACCATTGAAACTGAAGATACGGACAGAGCTGTCCCATTCCTTGATACCAGACTAGTGAGATCGAGGGACAATATAGTCCTAATCGATTGGTATCGCAAATCTTGCAGTTCAGGCAGATTTCTCAACTACAACTCGTTCCACCAACAGAACATGAAGGTGAATTTGTTAAAACAAATGAAGAACAGGATAATCAGAATTTCTGATACATCATTTCACAGGAAGAATTTAAATATTTTACAATCTTTATTCATAGAAAATTCATATCCACCACAATTAGTCAAAAAAATTCTACACAGTGCACCCATGACACAGACAGCTCCACCTGAAATCAACATTCAATTGCATGAGACTGTGGTTACTGATACTCCTCCAATACATACAATTTTTTCTTCACTTCCGTACATATCAGATTTAACTCCAAAACTCACAAGAATTTTTCTTCCAAATCCTAACCTAAAAATTGCCAATAAAACAGTTTTAACAATTAGATCAATTTACACCAAAGTCAAAGACAAAGTACCTCTTACTGCACAGACGAATGTGGTGTACAGCATCCCCTGTCAGGATTGTGATAAAATATACATCGGGCAATCAAAGAGATCATTAGCCAACAGAATCACATCCCACAGGAGCGACTGTAGGCTTCATCCAGAAAGATGTGCTTTGGCGGACCATGTTAATTCCTCTGATCACAAAATGGATTTTCAATCAGCAAGAATTTTAGCTACAGAAAGTAACCACAAAAAAAGAACTTTTTTGGAAATGTCTTTCATTGCCCAAGAACCAAATTGTATCAACAAAAGATCGGACATTAACCATCTTAGCGAAATTTATTCATATCTTTTATCAATTGATAACCCTAATACGGTATTAAATAATAGCAACTCAACATAACCAACAATAAACAACTTTTTTAATAATCTTGATATGATGCACATATTGCCTGCAAGAATATTACCCGTTTTACTAGTAGCTCAAAAACTTTCTCCTTCCAATACTCTTGTGACTAACACACAATAGCACTAGGTACCATAAGACCAAGGTCATCACACTTAAGCTCCATGTCACCAGTGAATTGGAAGAATAAGGTTCAGTTTTCCTAACCAAAGATTTTTATTCTGACACACGTTGTGAAAAGAAAAGTTTCATCATGATTTTAAATCAACAACGTTTTTGATATTGACCTAATATTTTAATTTTTTTGAATTTGTCATGTTCCAGATATGTTATACAAACATTTTTTTATTTATACATCACTTGTTAGTAACATCTATGTAACCAACCTCAATGAGTTGTAAGTACTGCACCACTTAGTCAACTAGCTTTGCTTATAATTGTTATAACATTTTGTAGTCTGGCCCTGATGATGGAAATATAACTTTCCGAAAGCTTGGACGAACTTGCATGAGTTTCACTTTTACTTGCTGCTTCCCCACTACTAAGTTTCATATATATATATATATATATATATATATATATATATATAAATAATTATTTTCGTGTTCATAAATACATGGTGGACCATTTTAATCTATTATGGATAAAAGTTCTTTCCGGAAACCGCTAACAAAAAAATGGTTCCAACAAAAGTTGAAGGATTCAATGAGGGCCCAAAGAATGACCCTACTCATAACCCCTTCCCCCCAGAGCACCCATACGGCCCTGGGAGATGAAATGTTTTTTTCAGTCGGAACCCTATTTTTTCAAAACGGATTCTTGTTCTCCAGAGAAAAATAAATTGAAAATGTTTCTAGCAAATCCTTTTTTGGGCCCCTTAAAGGGCCCAAAATGTTCAATCTTGTTGTTTGAGTTGCAATAACTTTTAGACTTAGGTCAAACCTATGTTTTTAATATGATAACATAAGTGCAGTTCCAGCATATTACCATGTTTTAAGCAAACCCTTAATCTGGTTAACGAATTACATGCCAATGAAGATTCTTTGTTTTCTTCAAATCAGGAAACTAAGAACTCACGGCGCAATGCTGTCAATGAAGACCTTGCTGAAATCACAGCCTGGGGAACCAACAACCTAGTTGAATTCAACGCCACCAAAACTCAAGCCTGTATTTTCTCTAGAAAGGCGGAACTCAGTATGCCCGACACTGTAGTGTCTGGCACCACCATCCCCACCAAGTCCACCATATCTATGCTCGGTATTTCCATCAGCAACAATCTTTCGTGGGATAATCATGTGAGATCCATCGCCAAAGCTGCTTCACAAAAACTCGGATTCTTGTTCCGTGCGAAAAGCTACTTTACACCTCAACAGCTCCTCATGATCTACAAGGCGCAGATACGGCCTGTTCTAGAATACTGTTCCCACATATGGGGTTCAGCACCAAAACATACGCTGATGCTCTTAGATTCCATCCAGAGAAGAGCCATCCGCCTGGTGGGTGACGCCATACTCACTCACTCACTCTTTGACATCATTGGAACACCGTAGAAAGGTCGGCGACCTTTCACTTTTCTATCGATACTTCCACGGGAATTGTTCTTCGGAAATCTCTGCTATCATCCCTTCACTAGCAATACCAGTCAGGCGAACTAGAGAAGCCCAGTCAGCACATCCTTTCGTTGTCAACCTCGAAAGATGTCGAACAGCACTTTATCAAAACTCCTTCATCCATAGAACGGCTAGGCTCTGGAATTCATTGCCTGTGGAAGTATTCCCAACAACATATAATTTCCAGAAGTTCAAAAATAATTCCAATACCTACCTCCTATCCCTATCCTCCCTAGGAACGCACGATGTTCTTTGAACATTATAGGGATTCCCTTTCGTGCGCTTCAAGAGATAAAAAAGAAAAGAAAAAAAAAACTTGTTATTTTTATAGACCTCAATCGCAGATTCATTATTATAGGTTTTTTCAATTCAGAATTTCTTTCCACGTCCTGTATGATGAATGTCAATTTATCATAAATTAAAAAAAATACTCAAGTCTCGTTGTTCATATACTATTTCATGCAGTTCAGGGGTAAAAAAACTAAAAATTGAAGAATCAAGAAAAGAGTACAGCTATGTGTATGAGAATAAAAGAATCAAGGAAATAACGAAAGACTTCGAGGACTGATGGGTGGTTAATTGGTTATTATAATGTTGTTGAGATCCGAGAATGATGTACCTCGAAAGCGTTGCTATGTCGTTTGGGAAAAAATTTCAGTTTTCGGAGTACCACTTTATACTGCCTGAAATGAGGGATTAGAAATATAAATGAGAATGCCGCCTCCTCGATCAACCGACAGATAATATCCACACCTAGTTTGGTAGATAATCGTTGTCATGGAAACAGCTCCATGTATTGTGTAAATGTGACATTTTAATGAAGGGTATAGGCGATAGTTTTTCGAAGTTCGAATTCAGTGACTATGGAGGCTTTTCAAAAGCCACAAATAATTTGTCATACACAGAATTCTGTCGATTATGCGATTCACGATGTGAAATGGATACCTTGTTCAGCGAAATTTGTGTCAGTGGGTGGAAAATCGAACGGATCTGGAATTATTCAAACGTACACACTCACAAAAAACGGGATTGAAAAAGTCGGAGAATTTTGCAAGAAGGATCATTTCAAATGTTGCACTTTTGATGCTTCTGGTTTGAGAAATAGGTGTTTGGCTACGGGAGATTTCAGTGGAAGATTACAAGTATGGTAAGTATTTTTTCAAACTGTTTATAAAATAACAATGACTATGTCATTTACTAGGTTATATCAAATGACCCTCTTGAAGAAATTACTTCATTTCCAAGATATAGAGAGTCGATTTTTTCAAAAAAAAAATGTGTCTCGATTACACAAAATTCGTATCGCTGATTTCGATAGAAACCTGTTTTGAAATGATTGGAATGAAATTATCAATTTCAGTGGCAACTCAGAGGGCAATCGAATTTATATTATGTTGGGAACAATAGTACGCCACTGATTTATGGTTCAGGTCGTTTCTTGAATTGAGCCGTTGAAAATACAAATTTTCTTTTCGATTGAATTTTTTTCATATCTTGCTTCGTTTCCGAGAAATACTACTTCAAAATACCTCAACGTTCATGAAAATGTGTCCAAGATACAAAAAATAAATATTAAACGAGAGGTTGATTTTCGAACTTCTCGACCCAAATCACGATCTTAACTTGCAAAAATCAGTGGCGCACACAATGAATATAAATTTGATTTCCCTCTAAGATGCCAGTAAAATTGATAAGGATCTTGATTCATAAATGAGAATACAATATTTTCTGAACAATTTTACTCCCTGTATCTCGGAAATGAAGCGAATTAGGGTATATTTAATTGAAAAATAATACCTTATTTCTACTTGAAAAATTGACTCTGAATGTTCGACGGTTTAACCTCGTCTCACCCTGTATACTGATGAAGGAATGCATTTTTTGTGAAATATACAGGGTGTTCCATTTGACGTAACAACGTTCAGTTCACTTCTATTCTGAGAAGTAATGAACAAAATACCAAGTATGTGCTCTCGTTGTATTCCAAATAAAATGAAACGCAATTTTCAATAACACTTGGAGTGTCATTCGAAAATGAAAAGTGAAGGGTAGCTACCACAGAACTGTCAAAAATGGAGTTTATTTGTATGTCATCAGGAAGGTATTTACTCTGATGCCATTCAAAGCAGTTTTTAATTGTCTGATCATCTTGTCAAATAAGCGCGATATTGCCTGTGTACGATAACTTGGGACACCCGGTAGCAGTCCAAATATCTCAGGATATGTGTAATGGCATTGTTAGGTAAGTGAGTGTAACATAGTTGTAGGTGGGAGATTATTTTTGAAGTTTCGAATTTATTGATATTCATAGAATTACATCAGTTTTTGATTTTCTAATTATCTTGTCGAATATTTGTAAATGTTCATGTAATCTAGTTTCTACCTAAATCTTCACCAGAATGTCTATCAATGCTTTGAATCAAGTATCCTTTTCTGTCATTCCTGATCATGATATTAGTTTGATTTCGCAGACTGTGATAATAGTTAAAATCTTTTTCGGTTTTACTTTTTTTGTACTTACACAACGCCTTATTTCACAACTTCATGATAAGTTTTGCATTATCTGTGAGCCAAGGCGGTTTATGTTTTCCAATCATAAGATTCTTCAATGGAGCAATTATATCAAATATATAACGTAAAAGTGAATTAAAATAGGAAACTCTGTCATTCATATTGTTCAATGAGAAAATGTCGTCAAAAGGCGTCACAGCAAACAATTCAAAAAGAAGTTTCATGTCAATACCTTTTAGGTTTCGGAATATAATATTCTGCTCTGAAATCCCGACTTCTATTCGTGATAAGTCACAGAAGACATGAAAATGATAAGAGAAATTTAAAATATCGATATGTATCATCAACTGAGTGTGTCTTTAAGTCATCAAAATTAGTATAACATCTAATAATCTTTGGAGTCGAGTGGGTTTGTAACAATTTGCTACAGGCTGCAGTAGCCAAAATCGTACTATCTGAAAAATCCTATGCCAAATAGCACATGGCGACTATATGACGTCTAGAAGACGGCTTCACATTCAGCCAAAAGACGTCTTTTATACTATCCAAACTGAAGTCTAAATGACGTTAGTAAGTCACAGCCAAATGACGTCACTTTTTAGGTCTTTTGGACGTCAATGCTGCGTTCGATTATGACTTGAAACTGACGTTGTTGACTAGTTTTGGACGTCGTAGCGACGTCCATTCTTTTGACAAATATGCTCAAACTTCTCGTTTTGAGGTATGTCCTAATCATCACTTGAATGAGGGACAATGTAATGAGAGGAAACACAGTACGTCCGTGAGACATCTAGAAGATGCCGTCCATGTGACGTTCGAAAGACGACGTCCTTTTTACGACATGATTCGGGCAAGTGACGAACGGGACCATAAATTAGTGGTCCTATAGACGTCATTTCCGTCAGTATGGCTAAGTGAGATATTATATATGAAACAAAAATGACACAGGACAGCTTATTCTAGCGACATCTTTTCGAACTCAGAGAGAAACAGTTTGAATTCAGAAAAAAAATTCTGAATAGAATTGAGGAACAACACAGTGGTTCCTCTACACTTCCGTTGAACAACATACTGTAACAAGAAAGAAACAATCAAGAACCCAAGATAGTATAGTCAGAGTGGATACTGCTGTGCTGATTAATGACATGAGGCTCTTCGGTACAGAATACTGAAGTGTTTTCCAGACTTAGTATTTATCCTACTTGATGAGATAATCTCAAAGCTCATCAAATTTGCCACACGAAACCGATTATTTTTCCCCATTTTCCATGTGATACTGTAGTAATTTTCACGAACAGGAGAATTTTTCAGGAGTTGTCATCACTGCGCAGTAGCATTACGCATACAGGAGTGGGAGAGAATTCATGTACAGTGTGGTCTAGTTGAATACTTGATTACATACCTACTCATCGCATGTATTTGTTATAGTTCATGCTTAAATATTCTAAATGCTGGTAAAAAGACATTTTTAGAGAAAAAACTATACGAGCTTCCTTAATAATTTGGCTCCACCTTCGAGTCCCTTAATCCATAATGATGAGTACTGAATAAACACCTTGTATAGGCTAGGATATCTACTTCTGTAAAAATTTGTGAAAAATAGGTCGAATTTCTACTTCAACACATTTTCGTACCGGCATTCCCAAACATTTTTATGATTTTTATGTTATGTCATTCCTGGTGATTTCGAATACTGTGGATTCTCTTCCCAATTCCAAGCAATTAAATTATTTTGAATTCACTAGGGATTTGGAAGATACACTACTGCCAGTTTACAAGTCAACTAACCATAAAGCCGTAATCAATAGCATAGACGGAGTATCTGGTGCCGAAACCGGCTGTGGCGCTCCAGAGATTGTAACTGGATCTAGGGACGGTGAGTGGAGAAAAACAGTTGCATTTCAATACAACCCTTCAAGACAGTTCACATATACGTTCGAGAAGTAGACGCAAAAACAATTGCTAACGTACATATCGCACACCTAGATCAAAACTGTAGCAACTCGAATGAACACTTTTTCCAGGAGAGTCGAAAAACTTATCACCTTCTTGCTATATGTGATGAAAGTTTATTTTTTTGTTCAATGAATGATCATAGCTCATTGAAGAAAGTACGAATTGAAACATTTCATACAAATTGTCTGAACAAGTTGAAAATGGAAATTTGTGAGTTACTACAGTTCTGTTTGTCACATTTGGGACATTTTTCTTCATTATTCAGACTTAAAACGGTTTTGTTCATTTATTTCGACATGTTTCATTTCTAACTTCAGGAAATTCATGACTACTAATGCAAAAAAGAGTAGTTAATTAGTTTTGTTGGGTCGAATGATGGAACGATGGTTTCATTATGATAATGTTTATTGAGTATAACATCAGGTACAAAATAAAAATTCAAATTTTTCAAGAAACTTCAAGGAACAGTGAAATAAATACTCATAAACCCAAATCATACGTCAAAGGCACCTACCTATATTGAATAAACAGAAACTTTCTTACAATCTCTTTATCGAATTAAAACAGGAAATCCGAGGATAAAATCTAAAATCCAGTCGAAATATCCCGAATCATTCGGATACTAGCAGAAAATAACTAGAAAATACTCAAAGTATAAAGTAAATCATCTTCAATGGCACTCATGGGATTGACATCACCAAAATCACCGTCAGAATATCCTGAAAATTAAAACTAATTGATCATTTCCATTGTTAGGTGCATATATTGTTAGTCGACCATTAGATGTGTATTGTCATGCCCTAAGACATTTTTGTGTCAAATCGGAAGAAATGAAGGACTAATTTGCAGCTCTCCTCTTGGTCAATAAATGAAATTTCATAGAAAAATTCCCCAGGATACTGTTTTTCTACTTTGAGAATTTTGATATCATGCCATTTGACTTGGTTCCTGTCTTCATCTATACTGAAATTATTGCCCCATGATTCTTGCAATGCTTTGACATCGTAACTCAACAAAACTGATGTATCTATGAATATCGAAAGATTTCCATCAAAACCGATGGAAGTCAAGATGAACATAAAATGTTCACTCACCTGAGCAAATAAAACTATTTCAACCCGAATAGGCCAAGCGCCAGAGACAAAAAATGAGTGTTTGGTGGAAATAATTAGAGGAAAGCTGTTTTTTTTTTCAAAGGCATTCTTTTGGGTTTCTGATTATCCTGGTAAGTTTTCCCCCTCCAAAGACCTCTGCGTTGGCCGCCATATTGAAAGAAAGGTGCAAAAATTCAGTTTTTGGCTATTATCTCCGTATTCGTTAGTCCTACATCGAAAATAGCTATGATTGATATTCAAGATAACTCAATTCTCTATAAAACTGTTCTCTTATAATTCATCGCTACGACTTACCGTTTCGACGCTATAGCCGCTAGAAGTGCAAAGTTTCCGCGCGATCGTACAAAATATCGTTGCCCGGTCACCGTATTTGCAACCGACTAAGAATTACCATCATTGCCAATGTTCTTCAGCTTCACTACTCTTCACTAGAAATTCAATTTTGCCACCATAATCGAGAAATAAAAAAACTTTATTAGCATACGATGTATTTCTTAGGCTTCAAACAAACCCCCCATATCCATGTTACCATATCTACACGCCAGTGGGCATTTTTCGTATGCAAAATCTTGCCAACTCTCCTTACAAGATATGTTAGGGATTGAATCTAGATTGAGTGCATCAGAATATGATCAATTTGTGAGGAAGGGGTATTTTACGATCAGACGTTCTGATAAATTCTGGTCTGGGGTCTGGTCTGATATGACGATAGAGCAGACGCTTATGAGATCATATATGACTCATGGACGAGGAATCACAGATAGTGTGTTGGCAAAGTGGATTCTTGCAACGCCTATTCTTCTAGATGTATCTGAAAGAATCGAAGAATTTTGCCAAGTTTCATTTGCCACGACAGAACAACATGTGGATGCGAGAGTCTCGCGTATAACAAGAGATGAAGAAGACAGTAAAAAGTTCCTGGATTGGTTATTGTCTCATCATCCCTTTCCAATTGAACAAAACATCATGTCCCTAGCAACAGGAGTACGGGGAGATGACAATATTAACTGCCACAAAGCACACGAGATCGGCATATCGTCAATGGCAAGCATAATTGGCAATAACTTTGGTAGCGTGAAATTTAAGCGAAAAAAAAGAGTAATGCCACTCAAAGCAGTTACCTCAAAAATCAGAATATATGACGAAGACGTGCCTATCGATCCATTCATACTTTTTCAATGAATGTCTCTGGCTAGAAAGTCCGAAAAAGAATTACAGCAGTACTTCGAATTCGAACTAGCACCCTATCCACTATCACTCTTCGAGGCAATGGGAATGCGAAAATCAAAAAAATCGATTTTCTATGAATTGTTCTGTCCTATATCTGATCGAATAAATTTTGAAAATCGAATTCACGTTGTAGACGGCGGATTTCTTCATCACCGTGTCGTTTGGCATCAAAAAGAAACGTTCTCTTCGATCCTATCAAAGTACGTGGAATACGTGAAAAGATATTAGGAAGAAAAAAGCATCATTGTTTTCGACGGATACCAAGAAGCTGCGAAAAGTACGAAATCAGCTGAGCGTCTACGACGATTGATCAAACATGCTGCCGTCGACGTACTGTTTGATGAATCAATGACAGTCACTATGTCGCAAGAGAAATTTCTATCGAATGATAAAAATAAAACCAGGCTGATCACTTTGTTATGTGAAAAACTTGAGAAGGCGGGATTTGTCGTTAAACAAGCTGAGGAAGATGCAGACTCTCTCATTGTTCGTACCGCAATCGACGTATCACACAATCACGATTATGTGATGATAGTTGGCGAAGATATTGATCTCTTGGTACTACTGACAGCTCCATCACCGCCTCGTTCGAACATATACTTTATGAAACCTAGCAAAGGAAAAACGAATGAAAAGATATATTCTCTCAACAGTTTGCAATTTCCGAAAGAGGTAAGAGACAATATTTTATTTTTACACGCGTTCAGTGGCTGCGACACAACTTCCTCATTTTTTAGGCAAGGAAAGATGAAATTTGTCAAACTAATAAAAAATGACGAGAAATTGCAGAACATTGCCAAAATCTTCAAGGATCCAGAAGCACATCCAGATGCGATTGATGCGGCTGGACAAACATTAATTGCAGCTCTATACGGAGAAAAAAACGAAGAGATCTCGTTGGATGAGTTGAGATTCCAGATATTTGCCAAATCATTATGCAAAAAGTCTGTGAATCTTGCGTCCTTACCTCCAACAAAAGCCGCGGCACGGCAGCATTCTCTAAGAACGTATTACCAAGTTCAAAAATGGTATGGAATTGAAAAGAATCCGAAAGATTGGGGCTGGAAGACTACTAAGAACGGTCTGTTACCTATTACTTCTACCAAAGACGCTGCTCCGCAAACGTTACTCAAAACTATCTCATGCAAGTGTACAAAAGGATGCAAAGCAGCTTGTAGCTGTAGAAAAGTTGGTCTGCGGTGTACCACCATCTGCTACAATTGTCGAGGCCTATCTTGCACGAATTTAGATGACAGAATAGACAATGTAGATGATGATCTGGATATTGTCATTAATTCAGACCATTCCATAAACGAGGAGAATGAGGAATGTGCCCAGTATGACCACGACATTTATATTCAAGAGATTAGTGATGAATAACTTTGTCAACCTCCACGTCTTCAATATGAATAGACTTATCTTGGTGAGGTGCACTAGGCCTACAGGGGATACCACCTAAGAAAAAACGCGCCGTATGCTCTACCGCAAGGTGGTGTGGAAATGGGTAGATATAGTTGAACATCGGTCAAAAACATTTGAATTCATCAATAAACACAATATTCACTTGAAAAGAATCAAAAGTAAGAATTGTGTGATGCAAAAAGGGAGGTACGGCGACCGGACAACGATATTTCGTACGGACGCGCGGAATCTCTGTACTTTTCTTGGTGACAGAGTCGAAACGGTACGTCTCAGCTATAAAATGTATGGATACTTTTTTATTGAGAATTTGGTTCTCTTCAAAAACGATGAGATTCATTTTTCTTGTAGGACAAATGGATACGGAGATATTAGACAAACACTGAATTTTTGTACCTTTCTTCCAATATGGCGGCCAACGCAGAGGGTTTTGGAGGGGGAAAACTTAGCAGGGTAATTAGAACTCCAAAACAAAGCTTTAAACAAAAATTCAGCTTTCCTCTAATTATTTCCTCCAAAAATTCTCTACGGCTTGGCCTAGAAATTCAGAATGGGATATTCGTCGATTTGGTCGAGATTCGTCACTAATACTGTAGCAACTTCAATTATTACAGAAGAAAATCACGATTTCTTCCACCGAAACAGTTGTAACTCGAAATAAAATAGTTTTGTACTACAAAACTACGTGCACTCCAGTTGATGTCCAGACAGAAATTGGTATTGCAACCGTTTTGGTGGGTGCGTAATAGACTTGCATCATTCACCAAAAAATCTATCGGGGACTACTTGAGATATTGATAAATCTGTTTTATTGGCACATGCAACGTCTTATCGAGAATCTACATAAATGACTAACTCAAAAATCAAGATTTTTGAGCTGCTACAGTTTTGATCTAGGTGTACGATATATAGAGTGAGTCCGTTTTTTTGTTGGAGTACTTCGACAGCTTGAAACACATACTTTCAAGATGAAAAATTCATGTGTTTTTTGAATTCTCTCCTACAATTTTTAAAATCATGAATTTACATTTGGTTCACCTATTGCACTTGAGAAACTCAATATTTACAGCTATAAGGCGATTTTGTTACCTACAGGGTGCTACACTTTGAAGTTTTTCGCGTGCTGCCTCCACGGAAAAAAAGGATTGGTTCAATT